TTTATTTACCAGCATACCCCTCTGCAATCAAAGGTTTCACAACAGGTTCCTGTTATAACCAGTGGAGTTAAAATGACAGCTACAAGTTTATAAAAAGGATTAGGATTTTATTCATGACTTAGAACTATGACTTACACATATAATGGAGCTTTTATAATGTGTCCAATTATGAATATAACAATCCAATAGAGGAAGAGCCTCTTTGACAGTTTTTTGAGTGGGCCTCTCCCATTTCTTGCCCACTGGGTATTGCCCCAGATGTTCCATGTGATGTTACACCTTTCCATTTGGGGATATTTTAACAGAGCTGACTAAGTTCACTTAGGCAAAGCACACTTGATGCAACAGTTTTACCAGACTTGCAGGTACACCCCATGAGGAATTTCCTTGATCGGCTCAAATTTCCAGTGGTTACCCAGAGTTTTCTTTTATTTGAAATTCTGATCCTGAATAGTGCTGTAGAAAAAAATCCTGTTATTGCAACTACATTACTCAGTGTATTTATACTTACAGGCTGGTGTGATTTGCTCTCAGGCAGAGGGAGAAGCAGAGAGCTGTTGGGAACTAGTCCATCCTGTTTAGCCTAGTGTACGTCATCTGAACATGAGTTTGACTGTATTGTTTAATCACTCAGTTTTTTCACACTTTTAGTTTACTTACTAATTAGTCATTACCTGTAGAATTACCTGATAGTTTCCTCCCCTTATTCAGGGTTTAGTAGTCAACTTCAGTGTTTAATGTGACTTTTGTTTAATGCACTGTGTTGTGTGCCAGTGTTAAGTGGAGATGGAACAATATTCCTGATCTACAGAGACAAAATGAAGGTTTGACTACTGACCGGCTGCCTAGGTAGAGATACTGTCATTCTTTGTGTTGGAGTACCATCTTCTGGCACATTTAATGCTTGTTTAAAATATATATTTGCATTTTTTTTGTACAGCAAAATTTGGATAATTAACCTTCTTAATGGGATTGTAATGTGAGTGTCTGAATCCCGTTACCTTGACCTTTAGTCCTTATTTTTATTGTAATGGGTCCCCCCCCTTTTTTTTTTTAGAAACCACACCATAGCTAACCTTCATGTACTATAACACCGAATATAAAATAAAAATCCTTTCTTGCAACTCGGACCCCTGGATGTCAGTGGTGCAATCCCGGGTTAAAATGGCTTATTGGTGTGTGGAGGGCAGATGGCTAGAATCCTTCAAGCTTATAGGAAGGCAACAACAGCTCAAATTACCTCTTGTTAACCAAGTTATGCAGAAGAGCATCTCTGAATCCACAACATGTTGAACCACACCAACTCCCACTCCTGAAGAATTTGAGTTGAATTTCCTTTTTTACTTTTACAAAGTATGTTTAACGGCACTGTTTTGTACTGTGTCTTTAATCTGTTGCAGGGAAGGTTGGAAATGACAGCATTTTTCTTGATGTTGTACATGAGACTAAATGCGATAATCAGCATATCTGAGAGGGTTTGTGTGGAAGAAATTAATGCCCATGAGCTTGAACAATTATTGCTATAAACAGATAAACAATCATTAGATTAATTTAAACACTGCCAATGTGAAGTCATTATTACATAAGAACAGCATTCTGCAGGTTTATTTGCATTCATCCAGTGACTTACTGCCACCTTGTGGTCCCATTTGACTATTAAAAAATGGGTAGTTAGTGTGGTAAGTTTTGCAGATGATTTGCAAAAGTTGCATTGTTTGCGAAACAGAGTTCATTTCAATATAAATGCCCATTCTGCTAAGAGTCATGCAGTATGAAGCAAGGTTGCAGAATAAGAGAAGATATTCCGCTGCGTGTAACTCACCAACAGAACAAGCGCACTATGCTAGTTGTAATCAGAAAATCACATACATATAGACAGGAATAAATAAATGATTGTATGTTTATTTATTTTTAAATAAGTAAATAGGCCATACGTCAAAAACATTAAACGTAGGCCTGCAGTTGCAGTCTGGAAGAGAGAATCGTTATAAATGGAAACACACTTCAGCAACGACAGCAAACCATGCAACAATAATTTATCGTGTTCTGTAGCATTCTTACACACTTACATCCCTTACAGCCCCCTTACAGTTATTGTTTTCACTTTGCTTTTGAACTTTGTGTTTTGCTTTATTGGAATTACTGCTATCAGCCAAATAACAGTTTTCAGTTCCATTCAGCCCCGTATGTCTGCATTTTTGTCCTCCACACACATTCTGCAGCCTCATGACTTGCGGAGATTATGTTATGATATGTTATCTGGTTCCATTGCCAGTGGAACCAGGTAACTAGTCTTTACTGATGATGTGACTGCTTTGATTTGATTTGATTTGATTGAATCTTTATTTTGAACATGTTAAAAAAGTACAACAACATAGAATTAAAAGAGACAAATAAACAAAGCAAAACAAAAAAGAAAACGAGCAACCACAACTACA